ACCTTTCAAATCAAAGGACATGAAATTTCACCAGTCACTGTGAATCAGAAAGTTGATTATCAAAAGTTCGTTGAAATAAATGAAAAAGAAAGATTTAATAATGGTTTTGAATTCCCAAAAACAAATAGGGCTTGCCAAGGCAGCAAAATAGATGAGTTAAAGAAGAAATTTGATCAAAAAGAGGATTCAGCATATTCATCTTTTAAGAGTAATAATCCTATTGAAAAGAATTCAGTGGAAACTCGGATAAATGAGGAAAAGGAGGATGATTTAGAGGAGTTAAAGGCATTCATTCAAAATTCAGACTATACTAAAGAGATACCTTCATTATATAAGACTAATATTTCAATTACTCCTAAGGTTAGTGTGAGAGAATTGGCGTCAAAGATTGAAAGAATGGCTGAAAACACTAATCAATTCGAAATTTTGGAATTTAAACCATTTATCGAACCAAACTCAACTATGCCAGTGGATTCTACATTCTCCAAATCGTTGGGGCCAAAGTTAACCATTGAGGAGAAGGCTTTGTTAAATGAAGACAATAAAAACATTATTGATGTCTTAGGATTTGACAAAATTTTGAATGAATTTAGGGGGAACGAATTAGCCTATGGTGATATTGCTAGCTATGAGCAATCACTGTCAAAAGAAACACTCAAGTTTGTTGGAAACAACGAATGTCAGGTTGATAAGCATCAGAAAAAATTATTTATCAACGACGATGATCCATACATGTTTCATAATTGCCAAAATAAAAAGGAAAAATCGAAAAGAAACAATGCGACAAAGGCGAAGAGGTTCGAAGGTAAAGAAATCGGAATCCTGCTTGAATAATGTAGAGACGAGCGTTTTCCAAGACAAAGTGGTTGAAAAAATAAGTCCTGTACATGTTAGAAAAATGAGAAATCAAAGAAAATATACTATTGGAAATAATGTAAATTGTGATTCGTCAGATTATTCAGTTAGAGATTTTTCTTCTGATTTGACAAAATCAACCTTTACTTTTAAGGATAGCATTACACCTTACAGAGTTATGGACTTAACAGAGCAAGATGCCTTAAATATATCCTTTATGGTCAATCAGAAGCTACACAAAGAAAAAGAATCATCTGCAGAAATGGCAATAAAGGAGCATAGTAACTACACTTATCTCAATAGTACTATTGTCGACATGGCTAAAAAAGAAAGAACACTAATTCCCGACGAGCAGATACAAGTCACATACTGGATTAGGGATGAAGTGAAAGTTAAGAGAGGGATTTTTTCTAGACTAAAGTCACTCTTTTGCTGTCAAAGAGAATAAATAAACACCTATAATACTCTAACCTATCTAAATAGGCAAAAGAAATCAATCTGGTTTAAGTTTTAAAAAATGACAGCCCAACATTTTCATTTTAATAGTTTATTGGAGTTTTGCAATTCTCTCATGAAGAATCTCCATGTCCTCTTGAATATCTTCATCACAGCCAAACTCATAAATTTTGACTGTAAAGTCATTTAGATGATTCGTAAACTCTTCTTTGTTTCTGATTTCAAAAATACCTTTGGAAAATAGAACTAGCGAATTTTCAGTAAGATTTTTGAAATTACCTTTAAATAGACTTTTGATAAACTCATCGATTGTTTCAATATTCGATCTTTGAGAAATAGGCCCAATTTTGCGAGAATAATCAATCAAATTAAAAAACAAATCGACTTGAAGTTCGTGGTTTTGCTTAGTATCCTTGTCGAATATCAATCCTAGAATATTTTCAAGAGTTGGCAAGAAAAATCTATTGAAGAAGGCCTGTGTTCCGTTCTTGAAAGATAATGTGAAAAGGGAATTAAGCAAGGTTAGTCCATGATCGCTTATGTCTTTTATACACCCTAGACTAGCCAAAACAGAGTTCATGATATTGTCATAGCTTTCTGAATTCATCAAAAGTGGCAAGAAAATTGAATAATAATCAGAAACTAACAGATTCATAAACTTTAAGAACTCTATGGTAACCTCTTGATTGTTATCGCCATCATTTACAAATTTAACCGAAGGAACAATAATGATTTTGACCAAAAATAGTATTATTGATGTGCTATTATTTGTGACAAGTGCACAGATTTTTGATTGTTTATCCATTATTGTTTTTGAAAGAGTGATGATAGAAGCATGAGAACTATTCTGAAAATCTACCAAAACAATTTCTGAAATATTTTTCAAGAAATTTTCATCAGTGGATCCCTCTGCAATGTTTATGAACAATTTGAGAAGAACACCTTTAACTATTGTTGAACTCTGATTATTAATGGACGCAATACCTCTATAATATTCTATCAAAGACATATGAATGGGGAAATTATGAAAAATTGTAGGAAGTATTCTAAATCCCAAGGAATACACTTCGAATAAATGGCATACTGCTTTCACACTGGAATAATCATTCAGATATTTAGAATCAAAACCAATCAATTGGTTATCAGTCAAACAATCCAAGACTGTAACTACTTGAGTGTTGGAATCAGGACGCACGGCTATTACAATGAATAAAGCTTCTATAACAATTCTTTGCAGGTAAAAATCCAGATGTTTTTTAATACCTGGCAAATCGTACATTATGGAATCAATAAAATACATTCCATTTTTCTTAAAATAAAATTGTGATGGACAACTTTCGGCAATTTTCTGGAAATTGTCACAAACCATTTCCTTGATCCCTTCATAATCTTCCTCCATAAATTCAAATAACTTTTTAATTACCACATACAGAAACTCAGCATTGAAACGGAGGAATCTGTTATATTGACCAATAATAAATATAATATTTGATGCGACAATGGCCTTTTCGTCTCGTTGATGCCTTATCTCACAAATAGTTAAGAGTGACTTAATGATAAAAACAAAAAAATCCTTTTCTGTCTCTTCTTCAAGTGCATTTGCAATTGAACCAACTGTCCAACACAATCGATTCAAATGATCATATGAATGGTTCGAAATGAAACTGTTTGGAGACTCTGTAGCACTCAAACTACAGAATTGAGAAATACTTTTTTCTAAATGATTCAGTAGCTGTGTCTCCACACAGAAAGATAAATAATAGAATGTATCCTTCATCTTTCTGTAAAATTCTATTTCAGAAGTTGCAATATTCTTGTCTTTGATAACTTCACCCAAATCATTCACAACGATAAATACCTCTTCTGGTCTTGGCATGGCAGAAATAAAAATCGGAATCATCGATTCAAGAATAAATGCATATTCTTTTCTTCTTTGTGGTAGCTTTGTGGGGGTTCTTAAAGGATATTCCAAATAAAATTGCCTGATCAAAAACGCCCATGTATCGAATACGATAGAAAACACTGACAAATCTCTGATTTTAGTAATGGTTTTTAAAATCATCAACCCATTCTTTGTCTTTTCTGATGGGAGCATGGTAAAATAATTTTGGTACAGTGAACAGAATACTCGACTCAAAGCTTTAACAAAAAGTTTTTCTGCATCATCAAATTTTGAAAATCCATTAGCAAGCTCTGATTCATTGTCAAATTTTCCCAAATAAATTTTGAAAAATGCTGAACAGTCATCGTTTATCTTTGTGATCTTTTCCAAAACTACTGATTGATCTATTTCACTAGGTATAATAATATTCGAGCCTTTGGAATCTGTGGAATTATCCGCTGCAAACAAATCAACAACCTCCAACAAACATTCAAGAACTCCAATAGAGTGTGGAGAGTTAAGATGCTTCAAAATAATTTCAATAATTCTGGTTGAGAAAATAAACTGAGGTGGCATGGATCGACAGAATGAACAGAAACAGCTCAAACAATTCTTCAATAAAGTCTCATCCAATTCCTGAGTTTCTGAATATTCCAGGATAAGCTGGATGAACGAGAAAATATTGTGATATTCATTCTTTAAAGTAGTTCTTAAAAGTCTCTTTTTAGCCGTTGTAATGTCTTCCGATTGCAAAAAGGCTTGCTCATTAACCATTTTCAATATTTCAAGGGAGTTGCTTGAAACAGCCATAGACGTAGATTGACTTACTGAAATAAGATCTGTAATAAATGTAGGCCACTTTCTAGGCCAGTCTTTTTTGACAATGTCCACCAAAATAGAATTGAATTTTCTTAAGATAATTGATGAGCCTTGATTGGTAATGACATATGTGAAAACATATTGGCGAAGCCCATTCTTCATTTCCTCATCAAAAATAGACCATTTACATTTAACATTTTCTTCTAAAATTTGCAGAGCAATAAATTTTGCTTGCTGTGACGATGAACTTTTAAGAATTGAATCAACTTTTGTCCAACTATTAGGTAATTCTTTAAAACGAATCAAAATGGCCTCTGCTTCCTTTTTTCTTTCTGAATTACTGGAAAGTGCAGTTTGCACCACTTGATCGAACAAAATAACATTGAACTCAGAGCTTGGGTCAAGTATATTTTCCATGGGTAAAAAAATTAGAAAGAAAAATTAAGGGAAATCTTTTGACTAGAAAAATAGCAACCACCTTAGACTAAAAAATTGAACTCTCTCCGAATAAATTGCTGAAAATGTATGCCATTAAAGTACTTCTTGTTAGGAGCTTTAGTTATTAGCCTGGCTATTAAAGTTGGTACAACCCTCAGAAAAATCAATTAAATAAAATTACAAAGATAATGAAACAGAATAATCCATTGCCAGTTATTATTCACAAGGAATATTGAAAAATTGTGGTTGCTTTATTGTATTATTTATATACCTGACTAATTGGTAGTGTTTTCGACTTATCACCATTGGTGACTTCATACTAGAACATAATGTATAATCTTTCGGATATCTGGTTTTTATTTTGAAGGTTTGGATTATCTTAAAGTGGATATATCAGAGAGTTTATCAAGTATATATAATCGACATTATTGCTATATAGTTTTAATGAAATCCATACTAATGATATTATTGGCTAAAAATCCTTCATTTTTATTGATCAAAGATTTTTAGAAATATGACATAAACAAATTATTTAACTCCTCAAATGAAGAAATTCTTGATAGGGGGCAATTGGAAAAACTGTAAGGATTTTACTACATTTCAACATTTGATACTAAGTAAAAATTATGATAAGGTTGTAAAAAATGCTAAAACCTTAGCTAAAATTGATGTTTTTGTAGCAGTTCCAAATATTTGGATAGGAGATGCAGAAAAGCTTCTTGAATTCTCACTTGGAATACAAGATATTAGTGCATGTGATGAAACAGTTACTGGTGAAGTATTGGCTGACATGGTGAGAGACAAGGTATCATATGCTATAATAGGGCATAGCGAGCGTAGAACAGTTTTGGGTGAATCAAATGAAATGATACAAAAGAAAGTAAAATATGCACTGTCAAGTGGAATAAGACCTATTTTGTGTATTGGTGAGAACATTCAGCAAAGACAAAGCGATAATTTTTTACATTTTTTGAAGAATCAATTGATTAGCTCAATACCTATGGGAGTTGAACGAGCCTTATTACATCAAATTAACAAAAATATTGACTCAGTTAATGAATCAGAAATCACTGATATTGGATCAAATTCAGAAAACAGTCTAGATTGTAGAATACAACCAAGTACAAAAAAATATCTTCCAAAAGATCAAACACTAAAAACTGGTAATTCACATGACGATACTAATACTCAGGTTGCAGACAAAAGATTTAATGAAAAAGTCTGTTTATCGGAGGACTATCAGATTTTATCAGAAGTTCTTAATACTCATTTAAGTGATTCATATCTTGATACGATGGAGATGCATCTTGAACTAGATATTGCATATGAGCCACTTTGGGCAATAGGAAAAGAATCAGCTACCTTGGAACAAATAGAAATGGTTGCTCAAAACATTGAAGAGTGGATGTTAAAATACAACATTAGAGGTCGGATAATCTATGGAGGAGCTGTAACTGACGAAAATGCAGAGAAAATTTTACGAATTAAAAATATCAATGGTCTTCTTATAGGTGGGGCATCTTTAGATGAACGATTTATTAACATTTTGGAAATTGCAAGTAAAATTAGTAATGAATAAGTTATTTTAGGAACTAACTCAAGAGATTTAAAATGAATTGACGTATCAAATACCTCGATATACATTCATTTTAAGATTATGATGCTGTGGCATGTATTTATTTTATTAAGTACTTAGTGTTGGTGTTTTGGAAATAAGCCATGAACAAATCAAATGGCTCATAAACTGAAAAATAGATATATTGGTAAAATATAATTTCATGTGATTTTCTCACACGTTAGGATGTGTATAGTTGATTAAGAACTTGTTGAAATATCGCCCAGACATTCGCATAGTTTTAGATACAAGCATTATTTTAATTTTGAAAGCTTATAAGTTTTAATATGGTTGACCTCATAATCTGATAACATACATAGGTAAGTTCTTAAATGCTCGATGAATACTATTCTATCTATATTAAGTAATTTCAAACATCTTCATGTATTTATCAAGCAAATATTGAATATTAGAAAAGCATTCATAATAGTTAGCAGATAGTAATGCTACATCTCTATGCATACCACTATTACAAATAGTTTTTAAATCTCTGTACAATTACTTTTAATTTTGCCAAAATATTTTTTCTAAAATTTTTACTCCCCAAATGAGTATCAGAAAATGTGACTTTACAATGAGACCAATTGAGCCAAGGGATAGAGCTAGTGTCCAAATATTGTTGGCAACATTAGATAATAAGGGATGTGCAACAGGCGAAATAGAGATTGTTAATGTTTGTGGGGAAATTAGAAGAACAGGAGAAATCGATGCACTTCTGTCAGAAAGAGAACTTTAAGTAAATACTTGCTTACGGTTACTGGTTTGTAAATTCATTAGATAATTTTTTTATTTTTTAGCCTTCAATGACCTCTTTCGAGTTAAAATGTCCTGTTTGTAAAAGTGATTCGTTTTTAAATCCAAATATAAAAATATTTATAAGCCCGTGCTTTCATAAGTTATGTGAGCAATGTCTTTATAAAATTTTTGCACATGGATATGCACCTTGTCCAGAATGTAAAACCCAATTAAGACGGATAAACTTTATCACAAGCACTTTTGAAGATGTAGAAGTGGAAAGAGAACTAAAGATTCGTAAGCAACTTAGCAAGATTTATGAAAAACAGATAAAGGTAATAAATGATTCTGACAAGGAGATTGAAGAGGATGAAGTCATACGATGCAATGATTGGCTTGAGGCATTTGAAGATTTCGTGTTTCAGCTCATGGAATTAAAGAGTGATAGTCTAATTAATGCTAGAATTAACGAAGTTAAAGGCGGGGATTCTATTCTAAACAGTAAACTCAATATCAAAAAGCCGAGCATTAATGTTCAAGCTCCTTTGGATGAAGCAGGGGTTGACTTTGGTATCTATGATGATTCCAAGGATTATGAGGTTCCTAAAGAACATATGGTTCCCGAAATAATATTCAAATTCCATGAGGGATGTGGTGTTGATAATGAATATATATTGTCACAAATTATGCGGCAAGCAGATAAATATTTTTGCAAATAAGATCAATATATTAGCTTAGATCATGAAATCAATTGAAGGTTATTTATCGCTTAAATGAATAACTTTATTAGCCTTTTTTTAAGAAATATGAGCCTATGTATTCTCCTGGGTTTGTAATAATTTTTCTTTTTTCTGAAATATCCAATGAAGTAATAAAATCATCTATTGACATATCATTTGATTTCAACTTACTAAATTGTATTTTGTCCTTTACATCAGAATTGAAAGTATAAGGAAACATGACCCTTCTAGTTTCATCAAAATCTCCCGTAAAGCACATATCGAAGTTCTGTTGGTTGCAACCCATTTCTACAAAATCTCTGGGTATTTTAGTTTTGGAAGCTTTGTATTTAGATTTCAAATAGTTTTGAGTAACTAGATAATATTTGTTATTAATTAAAACTAGCTTAAACTCATGAATAGAATATTTTTCAGAAATTCTTCGTTCTAAAGATTCTTCTTCAGAAGAAATATCAAGCTCAGTATTATAAAATGTTTTTATCTTCATTAGCTATCAATCTAACGGTAAAAAATAAAGAAATTCCAGCACTCAATGGTCAGAGTGATTCTTAACCAAGTACTTACATGAGATGGAGTTGATATTTGTCTTAAATATGGCTGGGGTCGTGACATTAACTCGATTAATAAGATCTTTACGAAATTTGAAAGTGAAAATTTAAAAGATTTCTTTATATCCCTATTTATGAAGAAGCATGCAAATAAAATTTTAGAAAGAACACTGAAAGAAGTGGAAAAATTTGTTGAGGATCAGAAGTCTCCAAACGAGAAAATTAATTTCAAAAGAAAACAACTTCAATTTCTTAAAGCAGATGTTCATAAGCCAAAACTACCCTTTAGAAGATGCATGCTAAGTTTGGAAAGAAAAAAACAAAGAAGACAGAATTTGGTTAATAAGAGAAGAGATCTGGGATTGTATAGAAGAAAGGATAAAAATTAGTACTACAGAACCTTTCAAGTTTCTTTCGCTTATAAAACCATATTATGTGATCCCTTTACTTTTACATGAAAATAATGCTTTCAAATAAAATATTTGTTTGGTTTATTGCAGCCTATCTATTCTTGAAAAATCTTAACATAAGACAAGTGTAATTCCATATTTATTGAGAGATTGAGCAATATAATCATAAGATCTATTATGTCTAAGCATAGTTTCTTCGCTATCTTCTGTATTGCCCAATGTTTTCATAATTTTAATATCCTCTAAAGTTTTAAAAGTCAAATTCACCGTTCTGATATTTAGTATATTCAAATTATAGTAAGCATTGGCAATTTCAACTCAGAGAAATAATTTCTTTTATTAATTCATCAATTCTTATATTTCACAACCCTTCGGATGTCCCTGGAAAATGTAAGAATTGAAGAATTAATAAAAGAAATTAACAAATATCATACTATTGAGCAGGAATTTAAATTACAAGTATATTCTCTACAAAATGAAATTCATACAAAGCACAGTCAAATATTTGTTTTGAAAAGTGATCTGAGGAAGTTGCAAGAAGAGAATACCTTTTTGAAGAATGAGAAGAGATCTCTTTCTGTAAAACACTCAAACAAGATTAGGCAATTAGAAACTGAAATCAAAAAAAATGATCTTTTCTCTCAAACAT